AGAGAGAGAGAGAGAGAGAGAGAGAGAGAGAGAGAGAGAAACGCAGTGATTAAGCAAGCCAACGCAAACCATGCTACTGCTGCAAGCACACGCATCGGGTGAAGCGAGAGAGGGCTGTGGTGTGCAGCAGACTTCGGTCTTCTACTTCTAGTCCTTTGCCTAGCTACACGCACGCGTGATGTGTTTTGTGCAGGCCTGCCAATGGCCAAAACCCCTGTTCGTGGGTACTTGTGGCAAGGGAAACTACCCATGAAAAAAATACAGTTGGAATAGTCCACAAATGCTTACTTCCCTTGCATTTCTGATTTAACAAGTATCAGATATAACAGGACTTTTTCTCTAGTCCCACCATCCCTGTTATTAGTGTTATATCAGGTTCCACTGTAGGTCATATATGTGCCAAAGATTAAAGGTGTTACAAGAAAGTAGTAGACGTATACATGTGTGCAAAGAAGAAAAGGAGGAGGGAAAGGAAAATATTATTTGATATTTGATAAGAATGTAAGGAGCAAACCACACCAGAACAACCACTGCCAGGTTTAGTTCAGTTTTAGTAAGATTTTTAGTTTTAGTAATTGTTTAACGGCACCTGCAACACAATAAAATAAGGTCATATAAGTGCCAAAGATTAGAGGAGTCAGAAGATTTAACAAACACAAAAAAGGAGGAGAGATAAGGACAATAGAGGTTTGATAGGAAAGAAAGAGCAAACCACACCAGAGCGCCTGCCAACCACCTGCTTGCCAGGTTTGAGCATGAAGAAAGAGCAGCACATTGACACAATATAGGTCATTTAGTCAAACTAAAGTGGGAGGGTAAAGAAGATTTATCATTATCCCCCTCCGACCACTACATTCCATTCCAGAGTTGTTTTTTATCTATAAGAAACACACAAGTTATCAAAGTTTTTATAAGTTTATTCTTGTTCATTCAATGTGTCAACAGACATTGACTGTTACAAATCGCATGTACACAGTTACAGGAAACACAAACATGGAAAAAGAATTGAGAAAAATTTACTTTAAAAAAGGAAAAACAACTACCTTATTCCAATCAAAACATTCTTCTTTTCCAAAGGGTCAGTTGGAGAAATGAAGGTACCTTCAAAAAAAGGAAAAGTACACGACCCACACATCATAACAATACAGATTCAATCAAACAAAAATGAAAACATGCACAGTTATCACCCAACATACACTTCCATGTTCACTAACTTATAATTACCAACATTCAGACTTCATATTTCTCTCCCATGAAACAAACGAAACAGGTCAATATGAAACACAAATACAAAGAGCAATGGGAATCTCTCCAGCCTACTCTACTGGGTGTCCATGGGCTGAGGCTTCACTTCAGTCGCTACAACTTCAATATCGATCTTCTTGACCTGCGATGATAGAACGGCTGTTGTTCCCTTCTTGTATATGTAGCTACCTTGCCTGCAAGAGGAGAAAAAAAAAGAGTTGTATAAGAAAAAAAAAGAAAGAAAAAATCAGGTGAATTAGACAAAAATGAAGTATCACTTTTCTCTTTATCTGAGGGGAAAAAAACCAGTTCTAGTTAGAGAAAAGAAATGAACGACCCAATAATGTTCATTTAGTGCAAGGTAATACTTCGATAGGCAAACAGACAGAAATGAGCGGTAAAGAAAACAAAGTTGGGACCTTCTAGGACTCCGTCCAACCAAATAAAGTGACACTAAGCCATGAACGGTAAAAAAAGACGTGTGGTATCATAGTAAAATCAGGCACTCGTCAAAATAATGAAATTGAAGAAACCGGCATTTTCCCGCCCATTGGGTATTTTGTGTTCTTGGATCGACATATCTTATTTCCATTGGAAAACACAATTTTGTATGGATTTATTGAAAAATGTTGATTACAGGCATGAAACAGGAAAACTTGTAGTTTCAAAGGACACTTAAGCTTCAGAAGTGACCAAACTTTTGCAGCCATTTTCTTGCTATTTTTACCATTGTTTTAGTAAGCATTTTAGAACCGTTGCAACACAATTAAGTCAAAAAAATGTCAAAGATTAGAGGTGTTACAAGAGAGTAAAAATATCATTAAGGAGAGATGTTGACAACAAATGTTTTGACAGGAAAGAAGGAGCAAACCACACCAGAGCACCCACCAATCACCCAATCGTACAAGTTGGAATGGGCTCCACATGTTTCTCATTCTCCCTACTACAGCATTTCCCCTCACCCCCACAACAACCGGAATGAACCACACCCCATCATAGCCGCTGTTTCTGAGTAAACAGAAGCACATCAACGCAATAACAGTCATATTGTCAAACTCATAAGACAATTGCCCAAGTCATTTTTGGCCGGTTTACAGTTTTTGGTTCTGAAATTAGGTGAAATGAAGAGCAAAGCCAGCTTGGTCAATTTGTTCACTTGGACAATAGAATAGTCCAAATATAAAATCAATTGAGTGTACCAAAATTCAAGTGTTTCACAGAGTCAATTGTTCAAAAGAAATAGTCTTTTCTCATTTTCTCAAAACAGCTAAAAACGACTTTGCATTTTATTTATGAGCATGACCATACAGTGCAGGAAAGAAACAAGACCTAATAGACAGAAACAACTGAGACGACAAGAAAAGAAGTAGGACCTAATAGTGGCATCCTCCAACAACAAAGCCCCTCCCTCACACATAGCCAGACTGTACTTACTTGACGCCCTTCTGGTTGGCGATCTCGTGAGGCCGAATGTACTCCACTTTGTCCTTGGTGATGACACACAGATCCACATTGCTGCCCGAGCCAAGATCGTTGAAGATACCGGCCGCGATGCCATCCCGGACCAGTTTCATGGCCTCCTCTCTCTGAGGACGATCAACGGTTGGGTTTACTACGTTGCAGTAGTATGAGTTTTACAGCACTTGCAACACAATTAGGCCATATAAGTGCCAAACTCCGACTGCAAACCATAACCCATTCCGTAACAAGACCACATACTGAATGGACAGTTGACATTTGTTATGGGAATTCATTTTGTTTATTTATTTATTTTCGGCAATGTGTGATGCCATGCTGAGCACTTTTTTTTTTCATTATGGAACCCAAAGTCATGGTGCGGTAATCTGCATGACGTCACAATCAATACAAGTAACCAAAGACTTTTCAATCTTAGACAAATGAGCTGAAACAATCTTGTTAAAAAAAAAAAAATATGGGGGAATCAAGGACTGGTGATGGGTCTCCTTCAAACATTGAGAAATGCTTAAGCGTCTCACACAGCTTCTCCCAATCCAGCCAACCGTACCTACCCCTGGTGGTCCCTGCTCTCACTGATACGGCTCTGGTCAATGGTGAGCTGTTGGCGCCAACAAATCAACCTCCCAGTTTTCTAGAGGGGTTAAAACAACAGGATGGGAGCAGGTGTGGCCCCATAAGGTGCAGGAGGCAGAACCCACCGATGTGTGGTAGACGCTACGCTCCTCACTAACATATCCCTACTCTCCCCTGAGCCGGTATCTGACTGCCTAACATCTCTACTGCTCTTTATCAACACACCCTCTGTGGCTGAGAAGATACCAGCTCATTTGAGAATGTCTGGGTGTATGGGATGGACCGAGCGGAATGCCCAACTTGCCGTATGACCATGGACCTCTTAGTAAAGGCACAACCACCCAGGACATGACGATCCAGTGGCTTCCCCACTTGGCTGAAACTTCATGCAAGAGAAGACAGCTATAGCCAGTAGCCATTGGAGGCGGGGAATGGGCAATGTGAACCCTACCAGAACTACACGGTTACGGGGCAGTCAGGTTTTTCCAGTCTCATGAAAACCCGTTACCCTTCTATCCTCAACATGAATGGCCTCTTTTCAGGGTGGGCAGGCAGTCCACAGACACCCCAGTCCACAATGCCATTAAAAAGTATGGGTGTATTTACTATGTCCCCCATTATCCCAAAGGATGACCTAAAAAAGGATAGAAAAGAAAGAATCAATCTATTGCCACTATCACTCACCGACATGTTGGGCTTGAAGCGATCTTCAAACATGGCCATGGCAGCTAGAGATCCAGAACCTGACAGGAGAGAATCATGGATAAATATCAGAGGTCACAATTCACAGACATCGGCTATCCTTTCCAACATTCATGAGTTTACCAGATAAAAAGGAGTGAGAAAATCGTTTTCTTTCAAGAATGAATTTTCTAACAACAATTAGCCACCTACAATTTCATGCTTTTTACATCTTGCCAAAAAAAAGTAATAAGTTTAGTTTTAATAAGTTTTACGGCACATGCAACATAATAGGGTCATATAAGACAGAAGATTAGAGGTGTTACAAAAGAGCAACAAACACAATAAATGAAGGTACTCATGAGCATGAGACACAAAGCAAGAAACGTACCCATGGTGACAAAGGGAAGTTTGTCAGTGGACCCATGAGGCCAGATGCTGTAAAGACTTGGGCCAGTGACGTCGACGCCTCCCAGAACAAGAGCAGCACCAATGTAACCCTGGTACCTGTTGAAAATAACACCAGCAAAGGAAATTGTTATTGTTTTTTTTAGGGTATTAGGGTTGTTGTTTTTTAACTTACCTACTCCTTTCTCTCTATACTGTCAGGTGCATAAAGCAGAGAGCAGTCAATGCCACGCTTGCCTGTCCATGGCCACCTTCTTCAATCTTGATACATTCAGGCTCGGGGTGATATTTTTTACGTTTTTCAAAAAAGGAAACCATTGTGAAACTTACTCGTAACAATTCCGCTAAATTCGTAATGGTGGGCAGCCCTGCAACCACCCATGAGAGAAAAAGCAAAAAATAGACAGACAAATGGACAGAAACATCAGAAGGGAAAGAAGAGAATGAAGAACTTCCCCTCATGCCCTCCACCTACACACTAGAAATGAACTGTTAAAAAAGCGAGGCAAACAGAAGGGCAGACACACCAGATTTTTATCTTAAGTACTACTTGCCACTGATGCCTTCCAAATACCAATGATGAGTAGCACAAGTTTTTTTTGCGATGAACTCGCAGGTTAAGAAGAAAAGGAGCCAAACCTGAAGAGCATCTGTTTCAAGAGCCTGTTGGCCGTGCAGACGCGGGGTACGCGACCCGTGTTGAGCCTGTGGAGCTCTAGATCAGCTGAGATCATCTGTGTGGTCATCTCTGTGTCGGCCGCCGTGCCAGCACCACAACAACTGAAGAGTTTCACGGAGAGAAAGTTCAGAGGTAATGGTTGCAGTTATAATGGATGTAAAGCACATTGAACATGCTGTAGAGCATGGATGTGTACTATATAAATGCAATTATTATCATTTTATTACTATTATTATTATTTATAAAAGTACAAATATTTAACAGTAAATGACTAGAAATTGAACGGCAATTTGACAAAATGAGATGCATGTTTCAGTGGAAAGGCTGCAGAAAGAGTCATGAGCCCAGAGAGGGTGAGGGGGTGGGGGAAGAAGGTGGAGACGAAAGCAGACAACGGAACATTGTAGGACAGCAGGAAAGGATGTGAAAGGAGAAAATTTTCCAACGCTATCCGGATTCAAACCCGGGACCTATTGAATAAGAACACCTTATCTCAAGACCACAAGATCCCCCCTAACCAGCTTTAGACAAATGACTGCATCCTGGATAACTGTACAAGAACTTACTAGATATTGTCAGCCATGTAGTGGATCTTGGCACAGTTCTTGTCGGCCACCACTGTGTCCTCTGTGGCTCTGGTGTCTGCTCCCAGCACAACTCCATCCTGGAAAGTTTAAGTAAGAATTTTTTGTTTCCCATAATGAAAATGTGCAGGTTTTTTTTACTTTCTTAAATCTTAAAACAACAACAAAAACCCACCTAATGAGAAACAGTGACACGTGATAAATGAAACCACAGAGTGCAGAACACTAATTTAAACTTTTATTTTTTTGCACTCATCACTCACTGCAGTCAATGTTTTCTGGAACTCATCAAATTAGCCATTATATGTGTAATAATATCACAGAATTAAACAGCACAAACACTGTCATCTTTAGAGATCAGAACAACAATGTCTACAACTCTGATGTAAGAAAAAAAAATTATACATAACAAGGAGCAGATACATATCTATAGCAAAAATATCAACAGTGCAAAAATATATTCCTTTTCATCAAGAGTAAAGTCACTTTTTTCTCTTACAATAGCAACCAGAAGTATATTTACCAACCTTGAAAATGACTCCAGCTATAGTTGTCCCTGTCTTGTAAGCAGTAGGGAATTTAAGTCCCATCTCTTTAAACCTGTCATTTCTGTAAAGCGGAAAAAAAATTGTAATCTGAATTTCATGGGTGAATTGGTAGGCTTCATTTAATTGTCTCCCATTTTCATAAATTCTTGAGTCAACGATGTGACTATTCGGACTCGAGTCCGAATAAATGAAAAAATGTTATTCGGCCTCTGATTCTTGTCCAGCATGACATCATTTCCGACTTCCGACTTCCTGTGACTCGTGACTCCGGCTTCCTGTCCTGCCTCACTCGTTACTCGCCTCAGGCTGAGTAGAGACCGGGATCACTTCGGGCAAAATGGCGTTGTGTGCAAGAGCCGAGTTTTTATCTTATGATGAATTTGAGGCCGCTTGAAAAGTCATAGCGCTTCTAATAAATGTTTATTTGTCAAGAGGTCATCAGAAGCAATTAAAGATGGCTCGTTAGCGTGTGTCGGGGTCGGATGGGCGGCCTGCACACGTGTGGCTGTGCGCATGTCGGGGAGGGGGGTGGGGGGGCACTATCGGTCGAGCGTTGAACGTCGCATACGCGTCAGTCTTTTTTCCCCCGCCAACTGATCATTTTATTACAATATTTTATAAGCTAGTCTTGACGTAGATCTACGTAATGAATTGTGCACTGGTCTATGGAATCAAAAGTTGCCGTATGCTCAGCTCTACACAGCAACACAACTTTTTCTTGGTAAACAATCGAGATGACACAGGCTTGTGTATTTGAACGAATCTGTCTTTTTTTTTTACAGAGGTCATAATACGCAGGTGCCAGGTGGTCTGCTAATCTTCAATTTTACCTTTTTCTACAATAAAGAAAGTGGAAAACATGGGAGGTGGGGGGGGGGCTTATCAATGAGGCGGCGCGCATCGGATCGGCAGAAAAGGTGTGAGGGAAACTAAAAAATGGCGGAAAATGGGAAACACTGAACATTAGATCTATAGAACGAAGACACTTCCTTTTTTCCGGACCAGAGTCCGAATTTATATTTTTTCGAGTCCGAATACATTTTTTCATATTCGGACTCGAGTCTGAAAAAAAATTTTTTTTATTCGGATTCGAGTCCGAATATGAAAAATGTTATTCGGACTCGACGGCCTTATGTTAAAACAGGCCTAACCCTTTGAAAAATTTCAAAATCCTGCTAAAAATTGGGAAAGTGGCAGTGGGAAACCTGTGGACCCCACAGTGATGCTGTAAGTTAGTGTAACTGTGAACGAAGTGTATACAGACCCGGTAACCGGGAACAAAGTCACGAAGTATACAGACCCGGTAGGGGAACTCTTTTGTGGTTTCGGAAAATTTCAGCGCACAGACCCGGTAGTGTGTGTGTGTGTGTGTGTGTGTTAGAGAGAGAGAGAAAGTGAGTGAGAGAGAGAGAGAGAGAGAGAGACAGAGAGAGAGAGAGAGAGAGAGAGAGAGAGAGAGAGAGAGAGAGAGAGAGAGAGAGAAAGAGAGAGAGAGAGAGAGGAGAGAGAAAGAGAGAGGGCAGAGGGGAGTGCAAGCAAAATGTACTTGACATGCCCCGCCAGTTGGCAGGAGGGAACGAGAGAAAGATAGAGTGGGAAATAGGTGGGGAGAAAGAAAGACAGAGACAAACAAAGAAAAAGAGAATGCGAGCGATACACAGAGAGAGAGAGGGAGAAAGAAAGAGAGAAAGAGAGAGAGAAGAAGAGAGGGTGACTGCTCGATTGAAATTATGACATGTTGTCCTTTTCTTCAAATTGTGATTCCTCCAACTCCAAAATGGGTGAAAAACGATCGTTCAACGAAAAGACATCCACAATCTTCATTTAGATTTTTAAAATCTATCTTGATCTAGATCTAGATCTAGATCTTGGCTAGCCTCGAAACTAGATCAATGATTTATATCTGTCTGTATAGATCTAGAAGAACCTAGTTCTACCCTGAGCCAAGAGGGTACTGAATACTGAAACTTTCCGAAATCACAAAAGAGTTCCCCTACCGGGTCTGTATACTTTGTGACTTTATTCCCTGTTACCGGGTCTGTATACACTCCCAACTGTGAAATCCGCAAGACTTCCACAAGCGACCACCCCAACAAACGGCTGGATTGTACTTTACCGGACCACCCGTCTCGGCCCGTGATTACTACGCACGCCTAGCCTAACTACGCACTCATAGTACTCTGCGTGCGGACAAAAGGTAGTTCCGCGGGCGACTTCGCGCACGCACAGCGAAGTCAGCGGCGACTGGCGAGGCGAGGTGAGCGAGAGGTGGTGGTGGTTGAGAGTGGGCAGGGGATTTAACTTTGGTGGACCACCGTGTATCATACCAACAGTGGGGTGGGGGGGTTCAGGGGGGCTTGCCCCCCTGGAAACTATAATAAAGAAAACACACAAAAATGCGAAACAATAACATGAGCGGACAGTCGTGTTTACATATCAATGGGGGGGTTTCAGGGGGGCTAGCCCCCCTGGCAACAATAATTTAAAGACACTCACACACACACATATAAACAATAGCATGATAAGTCGCGAGCAGGGCCAATGGGGTTGCAATTATGCAAATGAGCTCTCGTGCCCATCTCTAGCCCTCCATTGTACTTTGCCGGACCAGGAGTAGGCCTAGGGCCTAGGCCAAGCCAGCAGAGTCGCGAGCAAATAAGAATAGTGGACCACGTGATTAGATTGACCAATTAGCCTCAAGGTGTCAGGGTCATGGGTCAAAGGGCACAGTGGCACGGTCGCGATGACTGAAAAACCCGGTAAGAGACGGCAGTCGATTGCTGGCAGTTGAAGAGTGAGGACGTAGAAAACTGAGTAGGAGAGTGAGTAGGGGAGCTCGGAAACGAAGAACAGCGGGCCACTAGGCACCAGGGGCGCCACAGCGAAAGTAGTTCCGACCGGTGGTCCGGTAAAGTACAATCTTACCCAACAAACACTTGAATTTGAATTCGAAAGAAGAGACCTGGGTGATCTTATACTTTAGCACGTTAAATTCCCAAAGTCTACTAATCCCCGACTCAGACCTTCAAAACTTTGAACAGGGCCTAAAAATGTGCAAACTACCGTGACTTTGTCATGAACAGATCGTTATAATTATAACAGTGATTTTCAGTCTTCCATCATGATTTTGGAAGCCATTGAGTATAATCTTGATGACATAGAATTTTGATCCAGATCTGATAGTGGTCGTTCGTTTCGGAAGTCCTCAATTGAAGAATTTAACGTGCTAAAGTATAAGATCACCGAGACCTGACCCTAACACACTATTTATTGTCTATTCTATTGTTTCTCATAGTGATCATCGTTATGAAGTCCTCCCTCTAGATCTAATCTAGATCTATTTGATTTGTACAGATAAAAATATTAAATCTATAGATCTAGATCTAGATTTAGATCTAGATATCTAATCAGACTAATCTAGATCTACCTCTGCTGGTCACTATGACAAACATCAAACCGCTATGGATGGATTTTGCTGACAAGAACCAGTAAAAGGGGGAAAGGCAACGCCAAATTTGTACAATAAAACACGTCTTCTAATCAACAGACACCTAACCAACAGAGAAGACACATTGTCCACTTATCACTTAAGAGTATGTTCTATTGTGAGAAGACATAGAATGTTAATACCTTCCACAATTCTCGAAAGAGAACCCTCCCTTTGCAGGTTCAACACACGGCGCAGCCATCTTGTTTTGGAATTACAAGCAAAATTGAGTTTACTTCCGGTGTCTTTTGAGTTGCCAGATATTACGATATTTTGCCAGGTATTTTGAAAGACGACAGACTAAGATAAACAATACTATAAACCACAGAATTCTACACATTTTATTCTTTTCGGAGAGACTGGATACCTTTTCCCACCATTACAATAATAATAATAGTATTATTAAAAACCCACTTTGCAACGTTGATATGCATTATTTTGCTTTCACGCAAGCCATGTCGAAAAAATTTGCTCCCAAGCCACACTGGTTGTTAAAGACCATAATATTATAATTAATATTAAACTCGCCCAAAAAAGTCAAGGAACAACTTGTGTTTTCACCTGTCAAATTCAAACTCCAATATCTCACAAATCCGTTAAGATCAGTAAACAAATTTGGCACACGCACTGACGACTAGACACAGTGTGCCTGTACTGCAAATTTGCCCACACCAGCTTCCCAGTGACGGACGGCGCAGGGCATTCTGAAAGATCCGAAAAAGCATGAAAAATGGGCTAAATTTCTCTACTTCAGCAACATTGGCAAAGGGACTGTTAGCTTAAACTAAGCTTGGCACGTGTTAAATAGATGTCTTAGCTGTGAATATTGCTCACTTACAACCCTTTATAAGCCAGCGTTTATCAGCCATGTTTCATTACAGCACAATGGCCCAACGACGCTCGCTACATGACGTCGACAGAGGATGAGCCCTTGCCTGGCTCCAAGATGGCTCCACGTTCCCAGTTGTTACACATCGACTTGGGGTGTCCCCATCAGTCATATAGAGGCTGCCAGAAAGATGGCGAGCGACCGGTAGGGTCCACGACAGGCCCCGACCAAGGCCGCCCCGTTTGACCCACGACAGCATCGACCGGTTCATCGTCAGACAGGCCGTGACGTCATGAACCACTACTGCAAACGCCAACAGGGACCAACTACGAGTGACAGCCAATGTCCACGAGAGCGAGGAGACGGTAAGTAAGGAACTGTATCCGTAGGGCCAAGTTCGCTTCTCGTGTCCCTGCCAGGCGCCCAAGGCACATGCCGCCACACAAAGCAGCTGACCGGGCGTGGTCTGCTCGCCATTCACAGTGGACGCATGGTCAGTGGGACGAGGTAGTTTTCTCGGACGAATGCAGATTCAACCTGCTGCACCCAGACCGGCGAACCCACGTCTGGAGGTGTCGAGGAGAGCTGTTCCCCGTTGAGTGCATCCAGCAGGTGGCGCCCTACGGTGAAGTGTCCGTTCTGGTGTGGGGAGGCTTCTCAGTTCACCACAGGACCCACTGCACCATAATACAGGGTAATTTGACCGCTGCAAGGTAGCCTACAGGGAGGAAACCCTGCGTCCCCTTGCTGTTCCTCTCCTGCAGCAGATTGGACTACAGGACGACAACGTACTGCAGGACGACAACGCCACGCCACATCGTGCTCGCATTGAGGGGGGCTTTCAGCAGCAGCGAGCTGTCATCCGCAGGGACTGACCTGCTTGTAGTCCGGATCTCCCAATAGCAAACATTTGTGATCACATTGACCGGTGGAAAAGGGACAACCACCCTCCTGCACAAAACCTTCAACAACTCTTGGGCTGCCTCTTCCAGGAGTGCAGAACCTACCGCAACAAATTCTCCGAAGGCAAGTCCTGTCCATGCGTCGACGCTGTGCCGAGTGTTTGATCAAACGGACTGGCTACACCCACTATTGACAATGTTCATGAAAAACTATATGGCTGTTCAGACTTTTGAATTCCGACCAGGGTGACTTAAACTCACTTTACATGAACTACTCGTTTTTGTTGAAATCTAAAATTGTACACTCTTAATCTAAAGTGTCGAAAGCATCTTTTTTTAAATGAATAAATTCGGTTAAACTGTTATTCAGTTATCTTTCTTTGAATTTTTGTTCCTTGACATTTTTGTGCGAGTTTATTATGTTCATATAATTTTTTCCTTCCAAGTGCATGTATAGCGTTTTCTGATAGTTTTGATCCTTACCCTAATTTCGTCTGCCAGGCGATAGAATTATAATCAGGTCAGGGTGAGTTTGCGCTCGGAACAAATGATTACATATGTGAGGCATCGTGGTGGAATCAGGCTCTCGTCAATTTTTGGGCATTTAGAGTTATTGGTATCATCTTAAAGCTTGTTCACTTGTCTTTATTTGGAGGGAAAAATATTCA